TTGTGACTGTGCTGCTTACTTCAGCAAATAAAAAATAAGAAATACAAATACTAGATATTCTTCAGTATAATTGGTTGTGAGACTAAATAAATAGGAAGTGTGGATAAGACAAGACCCAGAAGTCTGAGAGGCTTTGAAATATCAAAACTTATGTTTAGCTTAAATGATCATCTGGTTAATCACCAGATTGTCCCAGCCTTGAAAGTGGATTTCAGCTCCCTCATTAAAGTCAAAGGTAGAGTATAATAAATTTGTCATGTACAAAGAAAGCAGTAAGGAAAGGATTTAGGGCTTCAGTGATCAAAAGAAAACATCCTACAAAAAGCACATGCATATGAATGCGCAAAACTGTACATGAAAACAATTCATACTTTACAGAAAGCCCTTTTGGAATAGCAGTCTGTGATGTCTCATGGGACTTGCGTGGAGCTCTTTACATTTTCAGAACATGGTGTAAATTGCAGTTGCAATGAACTGAATGACACAACAGCGTAAGGACTCTGTGTACATGCGACAGGGCTCATAAATGCTCAGTTATAGTCCCTTAACGACATCGCAGTGCTTATGACTATAGTGAATCATTGATACTCACAAATTTGATTTTTAATTCAATTGTGAGAAGTTCACAAGTGAAGATTTTTGCTTAGAGATTTAACTCAACCTGATGAGTGATTACTGAAAAAATATGACTTTGCTACCTTCTCTTCATTTGCTGCCATTAGAGATTCTACCGCCTTCTTCATTTTCTGTACCTCTATATCTAAAAACACAATACAGTTCTCTAAGTCAATTTAAATAAGAGAGCATAAGAAAATAAGAAAAACAAAAAACCAAGAAACAACTTGGTAGTATCTGAAACTAAATTTACAAATTAAAAGACAAAACACAAGCCACTTATATTCCATTTTAGATGGAAATACATAGAAGAAAACTCTTCTTATTCAAAACCTTTTTTTCTGACATTTTTATCAAGGACATTATGAAATTCAGGAAATTTCCTTACCCAGACCCCCACCCTTAAGAAAATGGAAAGGTCAAGAGTAAAACTACTGCTTGACTTTCACTACCACCCTCTTTCAAATAATCAAAAATTGCAAAACAAAAAGTCCAAAATATAAAAATGATACATTTGAAGTGCAGTAAAACACATCCTCATTACAACAGTCAACAAACACCCCAAATGGCATCGCAAAACACTATACAAAGCAATAGGATTAATGGATATGACGAAGAAAGCATTGTGCAGTGGTGCTTAGCTTTAATTCAGTATGGATGTAGAAATGAGGACAGCACAATGCAATGATACAAGTATTTGCTGTGATGAGCAGTCATGCTAGAATATATGTTGCAGTTCAGACTTGGAAAAGGTCCCTAATACAGACATCAGTGTTCTGTGCTTCATCTATAATCCTTATTTACAAAGGAGTATAAATACATGGAAACGTGTATGTTCCAACAAGGTTCAATTCTGGAGGTGTTCTGGACTAGAAATTGAAAAAAGAATGGAAATAATCTCCATTTTTGCTAAAAGACTATCCTTGCATAAATGAAGTAAACTTTAAATTTCATTACAAACGTAGGTAGGTGGTCAAATTCACAGGCAAGAAAGCATTTTACCTTGTTTTAACTTCCTAAAATTTATCAGAAAACAGAGTGGGAAGAACATTTTCCTCCTTAATGAAATGCAAGAAGAAAATAAGCTGCCTGGCTGGCTTTCTAGATCAAACACATTTAGACACATTGGGCTAGAGCTGCAACTGATCCAGTTCCAGTGACTTCCACTCAGTTATGCTAACTGAAAATCTGGTTTACTGGATTGCAACTGCATTTCACTGAGAGGCAACTGTTTTGTGAGAGACCAAATCTTTCGTTGCCTATCAGCTTTTCTTCAGAAAACCCTTTATTTCAAGTGTGACATAACGACCCTTATTCTCAAATTTTACTCTAAGTGTAACTAAGGGTTATAGATGATGCAACCCAACGATGTTTGTTAAAGCAGTTTTGCAAACACATGCATAAAGCTATTCTGGAAAGCACTTCTGAAATGCAAATGCTTGTGGAGAGACACCAGAAACCTTACTTTTATCTTTGAGCTTCTTTTTACAATTTTCATCTGTGCAGGAAAATCCATTGGATTTGAAATTAGCATGAAGGTTATGACATTAAAAAACTTCTAAGACAATACTGATACTTAAGGAGTCTACTATTTCTCAGGTATTATTGCAGAAGCAAGCAGTTCACAGTTTCAGCCTGCACTCTAAAAGCTAACACTTTACTGGCAAAAGCCAGCTAAGTGATAATGTATGTGTGTTTGTTCACAATTCAGCTAATGGCGCAGATAACCTGTGTTATCTGCAAAGAGCATTACTTAATATTGGTCCAAGGCAGAAAAAAACATGGTCCATCATGGCAGAAGATCCCCTGCTGAGCTATACTGAAAACTAAACTAAAGCTGAGAACCAGAGGATAATGGGAGTTCAGTATACACATCAGCCCCCAGGAAGAAAAGCCCCATATAAGCAGTCATAAATGCGATAAAGTCAGACCCTGTTCACATTTAAGTGTTCTAAAAAACCAGAAAGACAATCAATGTGGTCACTTTTAGTGATCTGATGCAGTGGTTTTGAAAACAGATAATTTTATTAAATAAAATGTGACAAATTATGCACAGGGTTTTCCTCCTCAGGTCAGGGGAGGAGACTGATTTATTGTGGCTTTATTTTTCTAAAAAACACACTTTAAAAGCATAATCTTAAAATCAGCAGGTAAAAATCACAAATGTATCAGTGAGATATATTCAGAAGTGAGATTGCAGCAGGTCAAAAAAGTCTCTGGAAAATATTCTGAGGCTTTAAAGAAAACCTTCTATTTTAAGTAAGTTATAGAAATTAAACTCCCTCCAAAAAAATACTCATTTTGTTTCTTCAATGCAAGCAAATAAAAGAATTATCTCACATGTACCCACACAAAAAGCTTCCTTCTCAATATAATATTTTTTTGGAACACGTTGAAATTAGTTTAAGGACTTCTTTGCCAATATAAACTCCATCTTTTGAGGCACCGTGCAAGCCATGTAAAGAGCTAACTGGAGATTACATAGGCTAGTTTAAAGTTGATCAAGAACTTGCTATGACAGTGGGATTGTATTGTGAACACTCACTAAATATATTAAAAGAAGTAAACATGAAGACAGAAAGTATATAAAAATTGATGCTTTTATCTGTTAACTCCTGTACAATCATTCAAGGAAACATGACCTCAGATGAGGTGACTCAGAAGGACATGGTGAGAGAGCCTCCCTCCTTCTTACCTCTGTCCAGTATTTCAATTCCTTCTCCTTTCAGCTTGTAAACCAGCTTTTCTTGCAACCTTTTTACCTCGGCCTCCTTCACCTCTAGCTTGTCTTTTAAAGCTGCCAGCTCATCCTGTAACAGACACACAATCTCTCAGTGACAGCTTCCACATACAGGTGGGAAATTTCCAAAGTTCCCTCCTATGAAGCACAGTGGACAGGTCCTCAGTTGGTGGAAATGACCAAGGGCCCCCTGACATTTGAACTGGCTGAGGATACACCCACCAAAACTGACTCTGAATATCACAACAGACCACTGAGTCCATAAGGGGGCAAAACCAGGGGGCCTATGGTCCAAAAGTGTCAGTCTCAAGTATAATTGAAAGATATTTTACATCTAAATTTAAAAAAGAAAAGAATAAAGCACAAAACCCCCCATTTTCTTATTTATTCAACCTTGCAGAGACAGAAAATGGGCAGGTGATGAGGCTGAATGCTAAAATTTATGAATACTTATTTTGGTATTTATAGGGCATTTGACATGTTCAAAGCTGGACAATTATGGAACTGTGCTCACACCAGGCTGAGGACAGTTTCAGAAATAACCACTGCTTTTATGAAAGAAAAATGAATCATGACACCATCAAGCACATAAACACGTACTGAAAAGCGGT